AATATTCGACATTATCCATGATCCCCAAAACCCCAAAACCCCTTGGGTGAAAATTACACTTTATCATTTTAACAGTTTATGAATAAATAAAATATGGATTAATTTGGTTTCTTAAAAGACTCTCATGATTTGAAGAGAGCTTATTCGGGATCATGAATAATGTCGAATATTCCCGTTCCTACCTTGGGCACTTGACCCAGTACCAAAGCAGATGCGGGAGTACTTAAATCATCAGTGTCTTTTGTTAAGCAACTTCCAACTAGATATTTCATGGTAGTTTCAAAACTCATCTTGAGGAAGGGTGAACTACTCTCTTCCATTCCAATTCTGTTAAAAGCTCTATACTCGCCATTGAAGGTGATGAAGTCTCCAATCAAACTTAAATGTCTGTAGTTGACTTCAATACCATACATATTGAAAACTTATCTAACTTCCTTCACAAGGTTAGCTCTTCCTGCTTCGACTCCATATTTCTTCATAATTTGCCAGATATCATTCGATTGAATTCTGTTAACGTCAAAGATCTGAGAATCTTTATAGAAGGCGTCAAAATTCAAGCCTTATACATAAAGATAAGGCTCTTCATTGACTTTGTCTGGTGTTACAAGAATACATTGATCAATTCCAGAGATTGATCTAACTAAGACTTTAGGCAATAGTGACTCCGCAACTGTAAGCATAAGTATCTTCTTGAATTAGAGTGGGAAACTTAAAACCACTGTCATTGATTTATTTTCTACATAGTCGATTTATTTGATATAGCCATTATACTTGCTATATTTTTCTCTTAGTACATTGCAGAAGTAAGCCATCTTCTTCTCTTCATCTTCATCGGGATTTATGTTGGCAGGTGCAGTTTTTGAGTTTTATCTCTTTAGATCTTGATCTTCTTCATCCTCCTGTTCATAACCTCTCACATCTTTGGCTGTCTTTTGAATTCCATCAATATCCATATTATACTCATCTTGATCCATCTCCTCGTCATCATCTTCTTCATCTCCTGTTTTACTCTTGCTTTTATGACTAGATTTTTTGATGATTTCATCTTCATTTTCAACATCAAACTATTGCTCAACATCATCAGCTTGCTTAAACTTCTTTGTTATCTTTTAGCCTGGAGTAGGTGTCTTAGTTGGGTTAGTTTACACATCTTCTTATCCTTGATCTTAACTAGCTTTCTTTAATTACTTTAGAATTTCTGCCATCAACAATGGAATAAATTAGTTGCTGAATACCTCAAATAGCTTTCCGAATTTAAGTCCTAAAAATTTCTCAATCTTTCTAGCGTTTTCAACTTCCAATGTAATATAATAGAGTCTTTGAATTTCCCCTGACTCAAGTGATGCAATCTTTTGAGTGACTTTAAGCTCTTTAGTAACATCAGAGAGCTTTAATCTTTTAAATCTATTAGCGTGCATCTCCATTTCTTTCTTTTTTAGCTGCATTTCTTTGTTGAAGTACACAATCATGTTTGGAGTTTTTATATGAGTTGGAGTTGTCATAAGAATTTCTTTTAATCTTGGAATACCAAGAGTCATATTACCTGCACCATGTCCTGCCAAATGGAATGTATTCAGAGTCATTTGAGTTGAAGGCTCTCCAACTGATTAAGCAGCAATAGTTCCTACATTCTCACCTGGATGGACAACTGAATTCATGTACTTTAGGTAATACATCTTCTTGAATGTATCTCCTTTAATAGGTTCAAATCTCTGCTTTGGGGCCTTCTTCCCTAGCTTCTCAAGCATTTATGCCATCGATTCATTTTCAAGATAATGTTTAAGTTTAGAGTCCATTTTCTCTGAAATAGATCCGAAGTATTTAAGTGGATGGAATTTAGCTATAACTGGATCACCTCTATGCTTTTTAAGCTCATGATTAGTTATTTGAGGATTGTCCCTCTTTATTCTCTTAAGGATCTTTTTGCTATTATGTTTATAGGTTTCAACTGTATTTTTATCTACTCTTTGCATAATCTCATTTCCATTGGTGATTAGACTTGTGAAGTTCTGCTCCAAGAATTTAAATTATTCAAGATATTTAGTGTTCATTACATCAACAGAGTCCTCTCCGTACAAGAATTAAACGATTGAACCGTCGTTATCTCTTACTGTCATATCATAGTTCACAACCAATGATTCTAGTTGCTTAATGAGACATCTTTAGAGATATCCAGATCTACTTGTCTTAACTGCAGTATCAATCAGTCCTTCTCTTCCAGCCATACAATGGAAAAAGAAATCTTATGGTCTTAGTCCTGTTATAAATCTATCTGTAACATAGCCTGAGCTTCTTGGATTAGGGTCGTAAGGTAAATAGCAAGGAAGAGTTTTACCATTTTGCATTTTAGGAACACGCTTACCCTCAAGTTCTTGTTGACCAAGTAGACAGCAAATCTGAGTCATATTAACCAGACCACCCTTAGCACCAGTAAGGACCATAGCAGATATATTATTTCTTGGGAATCTTTTTACCAGACCATCTGGAATACAGACCTTCAGAATTTAACTAGTAGCCTAACTCATTTTACTTCTCATAACATTATCTAGTTCTGAATCTAACTTTGCAATGTCATCAGCAGCATTCATTTTTTCTTCAAGTCTTTTCCTGATTGGATCATCATGTTGAATAATCTTTTTCCCTTCAAATGGATTTTATGGGATGGACATTTCAGTAAACTTATTAATTTCCTTATCAAAGCCATGCTTTCCTGATTAGTAAACAATTCTATTTGAATAGTTATATTCTTTTGCAATGTAATTAGGAAGTCCACAAAATTTCGCAGCTGCTTCAATGCCTGCTTTGTGAGATTACTCAATAATTTCTCTTCTTTGTTTATTGAATTCGGGAGTAATTACTAAATCTTCAAGTCCACAAGTAAAACCGTACATTTAGAGAAAAACTGTAAAGATTCTAGCAAGTGATGTTAAAAGCTCTCCAGCTTTTTCTGAACCATAAATTTCATAGAATGAGTGAACCATTCCATATTCAGATGCTCCAAACTGATTTTTATCTAAGGTGCCTAGTAGCAGTTCATTATCTCTAAAGATAACATCACCTTCTTCTTAGCCTATAGAGCCCCATTCTTTTGGAGACAGTTTCGCCTTAGAGTCTAAATTTAATCCTGTAATATTGTTAACTTTGTAATCATTCTCCTAATTCACAATATTTTTTAAGATAGTTGAAATGACTTATTTGCCTGTCCATCTTGGAACTGGTTTTAAAAGTGCAGGTGGTAGGGTAAAGATTTTTCCAATTTTCTCATCCTCTATGAGTTCTCTTAAGCCAACATAAACAAGTTATTGATAGACTTCTTTTGTTAAAAATGTGTCCTTAGAGGTTAAGAAAACTCCTGATACAACTGAATCTTATATAAGACCTCTAATAGGTTTTCCACTAGTTGGTACAATATACTGCTTATGAGTTGCCATGAGTTTATATGCCTCAGAGCAGGCTATATAATTTTAAGGGAAATGAAGATTCATTTCATCTCCATCAAAGTCAGCATTATAAGTACTGCAGTTAGCGTAATGCATTCTAATTGTTTGCTCCTTAGGGAGTATTCTAGCTACGTGGGCCATGATACTTGGCTTGTGAAGAGTTGGCTATCTATTTACAAGTAAAACATCGCCTGTGGATAAATGCCTGTATACAATCTTTCTGCCAACTGTTAATAACTATGCAAGTCCTCTTCTTTAGTCAAAGCTAAGAGCCTCAAGATGAGTTCTTACTCCTGTCTCTTCATCTTCTATCATATTAGCTCCTGGGTGCTATTAAGATCCATTCATAACCAACTTTCTTAGTTTTTCAGCATTTATATCACATACCGATTCAGGAAATGTCAATTTTCTTGCCATAAAAATGGGAACTCCAATTTGATCTGTGGTAATATAAGGATCAGGAGATATAACACTTCTGCCTCCATAGTTAACTCTCTTGCCCATCATTTTCATTCTGAACATACCTTCCTTTCTCTCTAAAAGTTATCTGATACCATTCTATTCCTTATCTGCAGTCTTGCTAGCCATTGATGAATCCATGAATGTATTTATAGAATCCTGCAGAGCTATCCATTTTTAAACAACATCATTTGCAAGATTCTTTCCTGGTTAGTTTGAGTCATGCTAGCTTTGTTGATTTTCTTAAGCTAAAATAGCATCCTTAAGAGCTAGATTGTTTGTCAAAATTTTAGAGATCATTGCTGAATGAGCGTGTAAATATGCTTTGTCACCTTGACCTCCTGCTCCTCCAAAAGCACCTTGACTCTCTGGTCTAAATCTATTGGGTGGCACTATCAGCTTTTTTAAGAAGAACATTTAAGGACCTAATGAATCATTTACTAAAGGCTCTCCATCATGGTCTGGATAGAATCTTCCAAATATTATATCAAGCAATGGCTTTTCATTTCTCCAAAGTGAGATTAAATGATCCTAGACTTCATTTGGTGCTAATAATTTTTATTAAGAGTAGTCGTCATTAGCTTCATCCTCTTCCTCTTCATCATCAAAATTTACAGCTGATTGTGAATATTAGTCATTGGAGACAGTAGTTGTGCGATCATGATGAGAACCCTTTCTTGAGAAAGCACCATTGGTTGACTCCTCATTAATAATATCAAAACCTTCATCATTATCTTTAATATTCTTTGATCCACTCTTACTCAATCTCTCCTATTGCTTCATTTGATTTCTCAATTTCTCTGATAAGGCTTTCTAGAAAAATTTAGTGTAACCATCCTTTCTGAAGTTAGGGGACTTCTCTTGACAATGTGGACATGAGATGGGTACTACCGATGACCAAATTTCGTGATTAATTTCCTTCAAGGTTCTCTGCAATATTGAGGAGTGGCAAATAATCTGATCTTTATTATAGGTGATAGACTCTTCAAACATATTGATAATTTTCTCTTCTTCTTCCCTCTTCAAGTTATTGAATTTTTTATCTAAATTTCTAAAATAAGTAGCGTAGTCATTTGGGTCTAGTTCAACCTTTTGAGATTAGTTTTTTCCCTTGATATCACTGAATATCATCTTGTCAAGATCTTGTCTTAGTTTATAAAGCTTCTTTCCATCAGTGATGGTTGAATCTCCCAGCAATGCTGTCTCCTTTGCTGCATTCATAAAGTAATTCTTAAGCTTCTGAGACTCAACAATCTATCCGGCCTTTATAAGCTTTAAGCACTGCACATAAATATCGATTCTAATAAATTTAACTTCAAGAGTAATCATACTTTCTTGGATGAATTCTCAATCTATGGCATTTCACACATTTTGATTTCAAAAGTTTGTATAGTTGGTTGATCAAGAATGGATTATAGCAAGGAGCAGTAAGGTCAATATATCCCAAATGTCCTGGACAGTATTAGCAATCGAGACCACATGTAACACAACTATAAAAGTGAGATTATAGTGATAATACACTTACGTTGCTCTATGATCAAATGGAGACACTCCAAGTGTTTTATCATAAATTCCACCATTCGTTGGATTATTCAAATGATCAAATGCCGTAGGGTTTAGTATTTGCTTTATGCTGATCTTTTCAATCTCCTGCTCAGTGTAGAAACTGAAGGAGGTGGCAGTAAACCTGTCCTTAATAAGCTCGTTGTCTAGCTTAAACATCTTACTATCAATTATTAATAAATATATAAATCACCCTTTCTCAATAGTTTTAAGGTCTGTATTAAATAATCACAAGTAATATATATGGCAGGAGAGTCTGATTTTAATATTGATTAGCAAAATTATTTTTATTTCTTTTAATTGAGATACATGGGGTTTTGGGGTTTTGGGG